TGTAGTCCCGGTGGTGGGTCCGTGGATGTGTCCGCACCACTTATGTGCTAAATTTTCACAGGTGTGTTCAACAAGCATATACATTCATCACGAGCGCCAACTACATACCGGCCCCTATACAAGCAAGGGCGAAGATTGGCGGGTTGGCTGACAGCTTGTAAAGTTGTAAATCTGATTTATTATGGAGGGGAATTCTGGTTGGGTATCATAACCGTCCGTGCTCCTGTCAAAACGGTATAAGTTTTTACGAAGAGCATTTCACTGCGGGATGTCCAAAGAAAACCCCATTAGGATGCTATACTACGATGTTGGAAGACTTGCGATTGTACACTACTGTATGAATGAGTCGGGTATCGGTAGTTGGCGAGAGGAAGGGGAAGCTATGTGGCGAGGTACCTCATTCACCGTCAACAAGGTCAGGGCCAAAAAGGTTGTCGAATTCGTCATCGTCAGTGGGTTGTGGGAGGGCTAAGAGGGGATCAGTATCGAGTACAGTCGAGAAGGAAGGCTTACACATGCCTAGCGCATCTGTCGCCAATGCAGTTGCGGCCATGACAGGCGGTGCCGGTGGTGGCACTAGCCTCGAGTTCTTCACGACCTCAGTGCTTTTCAAACCTTTCGTACCTGTGGCCGTCATCTTACGTACGGCGGTGGCTTTGGAGGCTTGAATCTCATGATACTCCTTTCTGCCCAACGCGATAATGTCGATGTCGCTTGCGATGATCACGCCAGCCAGGTGGGGCGGCAGCGGAGGGCGCGGTGCTGGCTTATATTCAAGCTGCCAGCGGGCTGGCGTCGCCTGTCTCGAGGATGCCGCAACTGCCTCAGGCTGACAGTGCTGTGGCGTCGCCGATCTTGAAGACGCTGTGACTTGGACGTTGGAGGGTAGCGGCAGCGTCTTGGATGATGGGGTGGGCTCAGACCGCTTTGCCGGGCCTGTCTTACTAGTAGCACTGGAAATGTGCTCCACGTCGACAGGAGGAACCTTCCTAGCCCTCTTCACGCCGGTCTTCAGGCGCTTAGCGGGCGCCTTCTCGGCCACATCCACAGTCCCAGAAACTCCTGCGGGGTCGTCATCCTGTGCCTTGCGCTTCCGCTTTGTCGCTGTCTTCGTAGTAGGAGCAGGGGAAGGAGCAGGGAAAGGGGCGATTATCGTGGGTTGCGCGACGTCACGGTCCCATGCGGTATGGCTACTTGAACTTGCAGCGTCAGGCAACGACATCTCCTCGACGCCCCGCGTAGAGCCCGCTACACGAAGCATTCTCTGTTCCATATATTGTGGTGAGAATCCGCCTGGCATGAGCCGATTATCACCATGCCAGTGTGCGGGGCCTGCGGGCACCATCCCATGTAGGCTGCCCTGCTCGGATGAACCCAGGTGAGGATGAACAGAGGGATAAAGGGGACGCGTGCTTGAGAGCGAGCCAAGGTCGGGATTAGACAGAGTGAGGTCAATGACATCGGGGTGTGGACGAGGAGCGGAAACGGGTGGGGCCTGCCACTGGGTAGGATTCGAAGGGCGTTTGGAACGCTGTGTAGTGGAATGAGGAAGGGGTGGCCGGGCCGGCGGGGCTGCGGTCGGGATCGGAGGAGGGCGACGGGGTTTAGGACTAGACGAAATGGGTTGATAGTATCCCGGCGGGGGTACCGGAGACTGCGGATGTGGGATGCTTCCCCCGTACCCCGCTGCGGGATGAGTTGGTCGGGGCGGTACTGATTCGAAGCGGGCATGTTGGGGACCGGCCACGTTGGGCCTCTTTCGCGCTGCTGCTAGCGTCGCTCGTGTCAGCAAGAGTCTTGAAGGCCAACTCATGACGATACGTACGTTGCGCCACGCTACGTTGCGCCACAGTGTGTTGCGCCACAGTTTGTTGGACGTTCCGTACTTGTGGGGCCGATGCCTGGTATGCCCCACCCCAAGCGGGAGCATGCCCTAGGAGCTGTGCGTTGGTGTAAGGCGTGGCCGTAGGTATGGTTGCCGTCGCCAAGTTGCGGGGCCTTTGTGCAGGCAGCGACGACGACGCCACTGTGTGCAGACCCCATCCCGTTTCACCAAAGCGTACAGGAGGGGTCTCGGTACCATGCAGGGGGCCACCGTCGTGAGAGTTGTTGGCCGAGGGCAAGGCAGGGGAAGCGAATGCGTTGGTGTTGCGTGTCATTGTCGGAGATATTACATCCAGAGAGACACAGAGGAGGCAGGTGTACGACGAATTCTCCGAGGTGCGAAGCAAGCTTCTGATGGTGGTGGGTGATGGTGGTGGTGGTGGTGGTGGTGGTGTAGGTAAGTAGGGGACGAGCAGAGCGAGAATCTACTTGGACCTGTGGCAGTGATCTGCGGAGTGGCGTAGATGCCATTGTTTTACGCTTTGGGCAGGTGCCACTCTAGCCTGGAGTCATGATCTGCGTAAGCCTCCTCCTGCCTTTGAGCAACTGCGAGCTATGGCATCGTTTCGCGCGCTCAGTATACAATCCCAACTATGTTAGCTTCGCAAGATGGGATATTCTAGATAAATTAGGGGAGGGCTCGAGTTGCACCAAGGTTCGCCTCACACGCCGGCCAAAGCACTGGACTGCTGAAGGCGAACACGCAGCGTGCTACGACTACCCGAGTCATCAGCTATAGCCTTCACATCTGTTCTTGCTAACGCGAATCAATCAAAGTAGACCCACCGGCAGGCCGCTGCCATACTTGTCGCGCTGAGTGAGTGGCGTTCATTAGGCACGTGATCGCGTCAGAGGCCGACATGCGGCAATGTGGACATTGTCGTTGAGGACTTGGGGCATGGAACCCAGCTTGCTGCCTACCAGTTGGTGAGATGCGCTGTTTTTTCTGCGAGTGCAGATAATACACACACCTATATGGCAGAGCGACGTCTATGGGTATACCCAGGACCGGACGAGGCGGAAGCTAGCCCACGACGGCCAAAGCGAGAACGCCAACTCCGACACAAACTGCAACCATCTCGGCCAAAACTTCGCGCGTTGAAAGAAAAGATCAAGCTGTGCTGTATCTGCCTCGTTGACGTCCGCGGCCATGTCGCCTCGCCTGTCCCCGGCACAGTTCTTGACGTACGTCCAAGGGCGGACTTTCGCCGTGCCAAGGCTGTATCATACGCTGTGCGCGGTGCCCGCATCGAGCACGACACGCGTGGTGATTCGTTATCCGATATGGAATGCATTGAAGAAGCGCGTCGTGCAACCATACGGATAGGGGGACGTAGGCGGTAGGCTGACGCGGTCCGACAGGAAAAGACCCATGATGTGTCGCGTGAGCGCGCAGTCATACTCCAAGGTGTTGTGCATCGGCGCGCGGGTGGAGGCGGTGTGCGAGATGGGAAGCGTCGGCGCGTCGGCGGCTTCTAATGGGTTGTCCGTGGAGAAGAGGCGCATGGCCGCAGTTGCGATGCATTTGTCCGCCGTACTCGAGAGGCAAAGTGGCGCTCGATGGGTCTATACCCAAGCTCAAGCCGGCGTGCCGCTAGAGAGCAAGGTATGCGCGGACATACTCCGCCCGCTGACGGACGTAGAGACGGTGAACACGTCAGATCGGTACTGTGGAGAAGACCGCGAGGCTGTCACGACGGCATGAGCATATGTCGACAATGTTTCGTGAGGTACGCGTTTACGTTGCTCGCAGTTATTCATGTGGTCCCTCGCGTCTAGAAGGTCTTGTCTTCCTTCTCGTCGTCATCGCTCACGAACGCGCATACGAGCCAATTCGTGCAACAGGCGAGCCTAGGCGAGCGTTCACTACCATTCTCCCAGCGTAGCCGCCCAGTATAGATATGGTGGCTTTCTGTCTCCGGGCTGGTTGCATGATCGGAGGTCTTGTGGTCCGCGCGCGAAGGCTGAGTTCCAAGCCGTCCAAAGCGATCTAGAGTGTCTCCAGAAGACGAGCAAAGGTACACACGTCCGATGCGCTCGTGATACGGTGCAATCCATCGGAGCACTCGGTGCGCTGGCTCATTTTCGACCTTTCGGTGCGCCCGGCCGTGACGCGTGAGGTGGCACAAGATTGGGCACAGCTTGCAGCGTCTGAGTGATGCGAGGGCTGGTGAGTCACTGTTAGTTCAGCGCAATCCGACTAGTACATTGTTCAGATTGAAAGCGCGACGCAGCCCATGGGGAAGGCGGGTATCACTATTCAGACGCTGTCAACTCACTTCGCGAAACGCTCGGAGAGACAATAGCGCAGGAGCGCTTGACTCAACTCGACGCTGTCAAAAGCTCTTGTGCCAGCTCCGCTCCTAGGGTAGTAACTTGGATGCCGGTGGGTAGGCGTTGCGATACTTGCCGGAGGAACGCATGCGTTAGACCATCTCCGAGGTTCGCGGCAACGTAATGTTCTGAGGAAGCAAAAATGGCATTGCCGACGCTTGATGAGGAACACTGGAAGACCGCTAACAATGCGTTATCGCACAGCGGGTCGCCCACTGAGCGGCATCTAGCCATGGCCTAGTCTCCCGTACGCAGACCCTAAACACGAACTTGTTGGGTCGTAGCCATGGCCGTGAGTGACATGTGTTCTGCTGAACGCAATTGTGATATACGCACCTCTGAACCATTCCCTCCGTCACCGCAAGCAACCGTGGTCCCACACGAGGGCATGGCCGAAGGCACCCACTACTACGTCTCTGTTCTTCACAGGTCTGAATTGATCCGCGCGACGAACGGCCCTCGTAGGAGCCCTTTTGGAGACATAGCCTTTCGTGGAATGCGTGCCGTTGAGAAGAATCAACAGGGAGTCAACTTGGCATGCATGTCAGGCATTAGACTATGAACCACGGTGGATACAAGAGTCAGCAAGCTCCACGAGAAGGAGGCTGCAGAACAGAAGAAAGACGACCACGGTGCCATACCATTTCTGCCATTCAGGGCGCACACAGGTCAGACGGTAGTATGGTGTGCACGACGACAAGATGTAAGCCAGGCGGAAATGAAGGCCTTCATGGTCGCTCTGACTCTGAGCTCGCCCAACCACGGTGATGGATCAAAAAACTTGGTTCAACCCGGGTTCGAACCGGAGACCTCCCGTGCACCGCCCCATGTGAGACGGACGTGATAACCAACTACACCATTGAACCGTGAATTTGAAGGAAACTAGTACAGCCATTACGTTGTTGTGGAATTGGTGGTCTTCATGGTTTGGTTTTCCGGACTGCTTTCAAGTAGTACTAGGTAACCTCATGCGACCCTCTTGCGCTAGCAGCTTAACACCGTTCAACTATCTGTATCTGTTGCTATAAAGACTGCGATGGCAACTACCATAGCCCGGCATCAGGTTTTGGCCCAGAGAGGAACCATGGTGGCCGACCACCGTCGGACCTCAATTCGTCTCAAGTTGGGAGTCCACTCACCATCGCAGATCTTTTGAGAGGTGCACAACGTGAATAGTACCCCTTCTGTACTGTTCTCCCCGAAGAAGGTACGCACTTCTCTACTTGCGTCTCGCATTACACACCCAGGAAGTTTCAGAGGGAGCTTGATGTCCAACAGACTCATATGCCAAGTATCTTCCGCGGGAAGTCATGGGCGACGCTAGCAATTGCGAACAGGATTGACGATCATACACGGGCTGGGATAAATCCCCGGGAAGCAGCCTGCCTACGTAGAAGATCCAGACACGGATACGATCTTGTATGGAGTCGGCCAATCTTGTTTCGAACGATGCTGCATCATGACCGGGTCCGGCGATCTGAACGAAACTCGCCATCGCATGTTCATGATCACCCGTGCGTACCTCAGGCTGCTCTTTCTCTAGCCAACATGTGAATTTCACAATTGACTCGCAGTGGCAGCTTTTCGCCAGCGAGGAAGCTGGTTGGAGCGCACCCGGGAATCGTGCAGCATTGGTGTCTCTGGATTGGCCTGTCTTCCCTCCCTGTGCATCCTTGGCATCCAAAATACATGTGCGCCTTTCCCAAGAGGATTTGCGTAGATCCCGCCACATCGGTGGCGTTAGCCTTCACATACAGAGAGTGGGTGAATCGATCTGCTTCGTAGTGACGGTACGAGGTGATGTATCGTGGACCGTTCACGCCTGCCGCATGCATTAGAACCACTACTATTCAACGCCTGGGCATCACATCGAAAAGAGATTTACTGTCGCATAGATTCTTACTGAATCTTGTATTCGTCTTTCCAGATCGCAGGAATTAAGGAACGTCGTGATGCGATGAGCGCATCAAAAATAAGCGGAAAGGCAAGACCAGCGACAAATTGAGTGGGGCCAAGAAAAGCGATGGCAAGACACCTACGCATCGCGTGAGTGTTATCTCCGCGATGTAGGCCACTCCGGTATTCTGTGCGTGCTTTGCAAGTTGATGGGCATCGCTCCCAACTGACGGCCCTTCTAGACCCAATCCATGAGGTATGCGTGGACGTGAAGTCGATCAGGTCATACTCTAGTGCTGGTTCACTGCGCTGGATAGGACCTTCCATGAACACCTAAATTTGCCAGTGGGACTCTATCCCCGAGTCGCGAGCCCTGCCCCCGGCAATTTGATGGCGAAGACATAGTCACAGCTTTGGTACGTGGTACAGTCTCCTTAGGTTATCGCCGTGCTCTGTGCGTGTCATACAGTCTCTGGGTGCCTTGGCTTGTACCCGTCGTGTTTGACACGGCATGTGCATTACGAGAAGACATCCGAATCGCCTGAGACTTCAAGCACGTAGCCTGAGCTACTGAAACCGAATCTTCTGGGCCCTTCATGATTCCGTTTCAAGGCGATGTCTACAGCATGCAATATTTGATTGAACACTGTCAAAGCAAGACGTCTGCAAACAGGTAGACAGCCTTCTTCCGCACTTGATAGTTCGAGGTGGGTGTGGCCCATTACGGTACCAGGTGGCCGCTCACAGCTTCGATGGCACTAACAGCCTACGGTATTGCAGCAAAGCCCGGGCGTTGATGAGTGTCACACAAGGCGATCCCCGCTTCCAGCTATCGGGGGTCACTGTCTGGGACGGGCGGGACCGATGGCGAGCGTTGTCGCGAAACAGGCTAAGAAATGACAGCAAGAGTCAATTGGTGACTGACGCTTGCCTAGTGACGGGTCCGTTCTTCTGATCTGTCTGCATGCGGTTGGCTCACGGGTCTTCTCAGAGAATGGACCTAATTTTCAGGCATGCCGGTGCTCTAGATCTTGAAACGGCGGACTGGATCATCGGTCATCTCCTCAAACTGCCACACTTCGTTCCATAGTCGAATTTCTACACAGGTATCCGTATGGAGCCGGCAAACTTGCGTTCTTCCAGTACCAGGAGAGCGATATAAAAGGGAGCCAGTATGTACACCATATCCCATCCACACACACAGAGACTCGTCCCTTTCCTTCTCCCAAATTGTGGCGATTTAACTCAACTACCGCTATGTCTCTCCAAACTGCTGCTAGTTACTGCTCCACAAGCATCAACCTATCGCAGCCCACCAATTTACCTTCCCCTCCCGTCCTTACTTTTGCAAGCCCGCGTCGATGGACCGCGTCCTTTGGTATGTTGACGTCTCCAGTTACGAGTCATGATTGTCTTCATATTGCCCGACAGCCCGAATGTGGGTTCTCAACGTCCTCCAAAGTGCCGTCAGTGTGGGACGCATCGAGGTCGAAGAGGATGGAAAGCTCTTCGTCTTCGGTCAGTCCGAGGAGAAATCACAGAGAGTTCGTATCACCGTTGTGGACGAGCATTTTTGGACGCGAGTGCTTTTGTGAGTGATGGCACCACTCCGGTTCACAGTCTACTCACCTTCCCGGTGCGCAACGTCGTCGTGACAAAGGTCCGGAAACCTCGGCTGTAAGTCAGGGCGACAGTCGTTCCTCGGGCGAGACGCTCATGACCAACTTTCCGCAGTCAGCGAAGCATTCATGATAGGAGAAGTGCAAGCTGATGACCTCGGGGCGGTCATAGAGGTAAATTATGCGTGACCCGATGACGCGACTGTGAATGATATCATCTCTCTATAGTTTTTCATCGACAACTTGTCAGGCTTATCCAACATCTCCTGGTTGTACAACAAGACTATTGCCGCGGCGTCGGGGCTGTGGAATGCCTTCGTAGGGCAGACTCATTCCCAGGCACGCCTGAATGTCATAGCAAGCTATGATCTATCTAATGAGATGTACAAGGTAACACACTTGTCAGTTTTTCCTCGCTATGGACTCACGTTGATTATTGCAGGCGTTCTTGAGTAAGGAGATGATGTATTCCTGTGCTCTGTGGAGCGATGAAGAAGGAGGCATCGATGGCGACCTTGTCTCCGGTCCTACTCCGGGCGACCTAGAAGCAGCCCAAATGCGCAAGATACGCCACGTCCTGCGCCAGCTGCGCCTTCGGCCAGGGCACCGGCTACTCGAGTTCGGCACAGGGTGGGGGGCATTGGCGATAGAGGTGAGATTGCGCACCTCAGCGTTCTGCGCATAGTTTGTTATTGAACGTTCCACGATAGGCGGCACGCACATATGACTGCGAGGTGGATACGCTCACATTGTCCGTTGAGCAGAAGACGCTCGCGGAGGAGCGGATCAAGGACGCTGGTTTGGAAGACCGCATCCGTGTGCACTTGCTTGATTACAGGGATATCCCACCAGAGTTCGAACATGCGTTCGATGCGTTCGTGAGCATCGAGATGATCGAACATGTCGGGCCGAAGGTAAGTCTGGGTCTGTTCGGACTAAGTGTACTGAAGAAACTCATTGAGCGTAGTACTACAACACCTACTTCCGACTCGTCGACTTTGCACTGAAGAAGCGGAACGCAACCGCTGTCGTGAGCTCGAGCACGTTTCCTGAATATCGATACAGCGAATACCAGTGAGTCTTTATCTCACCTACTTTCAAACTATCGCCTCACACGCAGGTATAGGGCCGAAGACTTCATGCGACGATACATTTGGCCTAACTCTGCACTTCCGAGCGCATCAGTGCTAGTTGACGCAGTCTGCAAGGAAACGCGCGGTCGCCTGAAACTGCACACCGTGGAGAACCACTCGGCGCGTGAGTAGGCAACAACGTCGCTCCGAGACGTCGGACCCTGACTAGTATTCGGACATGCGCAGACTATCCCCGTACGCTTCGGACGTGGGGCTGTCGGTTCAAGAGCAACGTGCAGCAGGACGCCGTGGCGGCGACGCACGAATCCCTGCGGGATCCAGTGGAATTTGCTATCTTCGCGCGCAAGTGGGAGTTCTTGTTCGCGTACGCTGGCGCGGGATTTGTCAAGGGGTACATCAGCTCACATATGCTGACGTTCACTCGAGAGGTACGCCCGCTTCGAATCATGGTGCGCCTAGTTCTGACGCTCCGGTGAATTAACAGGGAGATGCCCCTAGTCCATGAGGTTATCTATATTTATGCGCGTACGAGCTGTGCTGATTGTAATACTGTACATCTACTGTCCGATACTTAATTGTGTGTGTCACGTCATGCGCCAATAGTAGTAAATTCCGGGGCCTTGAAATGAAGACCTATGTCACTAATCAGTGAGTGGCGTGGTTTGATGTTATGTAGGACAACTAGTACGAACAACATCCCCACTCCCCATTCCGCTCAAACCACACCTGGCCCTTGGGAAGAATGATGGTTTTCAGCGTCTTGCAGTGCTTATGCCATTCCTTTGCTATGCACTGGTCGTCTGTGACGTCCGCCCCCAAACCGCCCATCACGGTGATATAGCGGAGCTCCTTGAAGCTGGACAACGCCGGCCCGGCTTCCATGAGACTTTCCTATGAGGGGATGTGTGATGACATGATGAGTATGTTTATTCTGACATAGCATGAGCAAGCGGACATACGTAGGTGTATTGCGATAGGAGCACGACGATGTGGAGCGCTTGTAGCTGCGGGACGCGGGCGGCCACCTCGTTCAGAACGCTGGTGGCGGACAATTCGTCGAGCGCCATCAGCGTGAGTCGCCTTAGCGAGGACCGAGCGAGGAGGAGCGTATCCAGCGCCTCGAAGCCCTCGTCTGCGTAGAGCGAGATGGACATCGTCCCGACAGGTCGACCTCGGATTACCTCGGCAACCACTCCTGCGCCGGCGTGAGTGCAGCGCAAGGACTCCAACCGCGGAAGCGCAGAGGAGGTGAGGGTG